AGCATAAGCGATGAATCATGCTCAAATATATCACACACAAACCATTCCATTCAATAACACTAGATGATGACATCATACAACCCTCTAATCATCATATAGTAAAGTCGATGTCATGCAACCCCTCATTATCATCATTCATAAATATTATGATCACATAGTCCAAGCCAACAACTGGCAAGGACACTCAATCCAAAATCATATACACGGTATTCACTAATAAAATTTACCTACTCCACGATCTCATCCATAATCACTCATGCTTTCATTATACATTCAAAAGACTGTCGATAGATATTCTTTCACGAGTATGAAGGGGCAATCACCTCATGTCGCTTGTTTCAATCATATATGCGGAATAAAAAAAATAAAAAAATCATTCATACAATAATGCAAGAAAGGTTAAGATTTCCCAATCATGGGGACAAAGATTTGTGACTATGGAGCCTTATTTTTTCTCCAATTTTCTATATCCTCGAATAGTGCCTCTCAAATCTCCATCATAGAAGGAATAGTGAATATGCCACCACCACTTGATCTCACTAGCTCAACAAAATAACTACAGACCCTCTCCTAGGGATCTTTTTCCCTTAAATAAGGATCTTGATCAGAAAATCAACAATGGGAGATCATACATATCACACTCGCTCCATGCAGTATAGTAGCAAAAGATAACTGTCAGAAAATCCTTTCCAACTACTATAACACATGGCACTTCCTGCAGGTTAACTTTTAAATGGTCATGAGAAATAAGGCTTCTCAAACGATCAGAATGAACCATAACATAAACCTTGCTTCTCACCAAAAGTAAAAAAGATCATAGGATGCTAAATGTTTTATCAATCATGAGACTCAATTGCTTGAGCTCTATCGCACTCGATTGCATAAACACTTGTGCTCCTTCTCAGCCTCCTATAACTTTGCATTGCACGCAGATCTATTTTGTGACAAAATTCCACTCAGCACATGTACTCACATTTGCATTCCACTCAGGTTCATTAGATTTCATTCGGTGTTGCTATCCACATTTGTTTCAAAGTGAGCAAAAGATGAGATTGCTTACAAAAGGAAGAGAATGGCACTCTCGTACAATTCAAGGAGGGGTGAGATAGAGCAAATATTTGATTTTAAAATACCATAGAAGGTATATTTGCTGATGGTGGAGTTACTAGTTCAACGGAATAACAGCACTGCCTTCCCTAGGGTCTTCTTCCCTTAAATAAGGAACCTGATAAGAAAATCAGTAATTGGTGATCATAAACGTTGCACTCATACGATGCACTCTAGCAGATAAGAACATTGTCAACAAAAAATTTCCTTAACTAATCATACAAATGAATTTTCCTGCAAGTTACTTATAATGATCATAAGAGATAAGACAATGCATTCGCTAGAATGAACAATAATAGACACACTGCTTCCAACCAAAATTAGAAAAATAGCATAAGATGCCAATTGTTCAATCAATCCCCTGGGTTCATTGCTTAGACCCGATCTAACAAATCAACTACTTGGTCATTTGATTTCATTCAATGTTGTCAACAAAATCTAGTTCACAGCAAGTATAAATGAGATTACTTATGAAGGGAAGAGAATGAAACAGTTGGATAATTCAAGGAGAGAAGCAAATCCAAGGCTTTGATTCAGAGATGCCATGAAAAGGGTGTCTTCACTGATGACAGAGTAAACCAAGCACAGTTGTTGTTATTGAAGATGGAGTTTCAGGACTACAAAAACCAACTGACATGCCAAGCATTGAATTTTCGTTGATTTGGGATCAAACTATTTGTAGTTTGCACCTATGGAATGACATTTTTTATATACATTTTCATAATGAATGGTCACATTCCCAAAGGAGAACTAACTTCCTTTTATTCTGATGCATAGACACTTAAACAATGCTTAGACTTTGGTATGCAATGTTGTTAGTTTCAAAAAATTTAGATCATTTGATGCAAATCAAATTGTAAATTTGATCCTTATCTAACATCACAGTTACATCTAGAATGTTCCCATTATGCTGGCAACATCATCTTGACATTATCAGTAGCATCCCATGATGCATGCTAGGTGTGAGTCCCACAGCATGCATTGGAAGCCTAAATGGCTTTGTATGGAAGTATTACATGTGCTAGTCCGAACCCTATCTTCCCTAACTTCCTAACTTCCGGTGTTTGTATTCATGATCTCTACTCCATTCAAGCCAAACAATTCAAGTTTTCACAGGTAGCTAGTCAATTGTAGCATCTAGTAGTTGTGCTTGCACTACTGATCAGCTTTTACTTAGGCTCTGTTTGGCGCAGCTGCAGCTTCTCAGCTTTTCATCTGCAGCTGCGCTGCCACAGGCAGCTGCTGCGGGTAAGTTGTTGTCGGGAAGCTAGCTGTCTGTTTGGTGCAGCTGTGTGAAAACAACTGTGGGACAGCTGTTTGCTGGAAAAATGACAATGTTACCCCTATTTGATAACAATATAGAAAGTAAAACACATTTCAAAATCTACAAGTTTATTCTTGCAAAAAAGAGAGTTTTCAAAAAAAAAAGATTTACTAAATGGAAAGTAAAACACATTTTTCACATTCAGACTGCAAAAGGATGAAGAACAATACCCAAAGCTTTCAGCTGAATCTTCTTCTCCCAGAACACATTCTTGTTCTTCTTCTTCTTATTATTCATCTCCAACCGATATGTAGAAGATAAACCAGTGAATCCAGAAGAAGAACCAGCACCCTGCAATGGTGATTCATCATCCACAGTACACTTTCTCGGCCGCCCTCTTTTGCGCTTTACCCCCCTCTCCTCTGCATTCGTGTTGAGAAGCCTGTGAATCACTGAACTCCATGGAAGCGTTCTGTGCAGAGGGAAATGGGGAAGACGATGGGGATTGTCGTACGCCGACATTGAAGGAAGGCTTCGATCTTATCTCCATGAAAGCAAATAGGGGAAGACTGTAGCGATCGCTGAAGTCGGGGGAGACGAATCACGGTGGGAAGGGCTGGAGAGTAATTGCGACAGATAAAGCTTCGTAGTGAAAGCGGACCACGGGAGGGATCCCGCGGCCCGCTTTCCGCTGCGCGTCGGGGGCACCGCGACGCGGGGTCACCGCGACGAAAACGTCTCCTCAAACGGGCGAGATTCGTGGGGGGATGCCGCGCCGCGCCAAAAAATCCGTCCCAAACGGGCCCTTAGTTGAATACCTTAAGAACATTGAGAGTAGTTGTTCAGGACCTTCTCAGCAGATCCTTCCTCAATTTTCTTGGATAGGTCAAGTGTAGGTAAATTTATGCGAGAATTTTGTTTCATGCGGAGTGTCCTAGGTTTGCTTTGTGACTGGTTTATATTTGTGCTCTCCTTTTAAACATATAATACATTGAATAAGTTTAACATGAGTTTAACCCAACAGACCAAACCTAGAATTTGCTTGGGCAGTTGCAACTTGTGTAGCTGGTTCGATTGATTTGATTTAATAATAATGAGCTAGTTGTTGCCTGAATAAGCCTTTTGGCCAGAGCAAGTAGTCAATGGGAAACCTGTTCTTCATACAGTGGGGTTAATTGCTTAAATCTTGTATGGTGGCTTTATGTTAGTTGGCCCTAGATATCTCAGCTAAATTTAGCCAATGTAGTGGCATTGGTAATAACTATCAAGGTGGCACATAGTTTTAAGATTGAACCCTGTACTTGGCTGTTGAATACTTGACCTCACGTCCACATTTAGGAAAAACAATTTACTTCTAATATTGGAATGCTCCTCGCGCTCTTCTAATAGTGTGTTATTTTGGTCCATCTCATTCAATCATGCAAGAATACACTCATTCACTCCAAAATACATTCACTAAATAACTATATTGGATATATAACACGTTCACAAATTAAAAAAAAAAAGGAAAAAAATCTAAGCAACAAATATGTAGGTCATTAACCAAGCACACAAAGTATAAGTGCACGAGATTAAAACAAGCAAACCTGTAAAAGGAGATATTCACAGTATTGGCTATGATCCACCATGCAAAAAAAATTCTTTTTTTTTCTTTTGTCTTGCTAGGAAAGTACAATGTCAAGTTACTAAAAAACGTTGCATGGTTCAACTCAATAGTTTATAAGATTTATGGTTCTGGAGAACAGAAAGCATACATGGATTCTGATCTACAAATTTGTGTGTGATAATCATTGGATTTACAGATCCAATTTTCGATGCATTTGTTATTATCACCTTTTAGCATTACCAAATTAATAACCCATCCTAGCCATTGCCCCTCCACTGAGATTGAATATGATAAAAATCCCACAAAAAATAGTGTTCTTAGCATTCAGCACTTATCTGTATTAAATGCATAAAGAATCTTTGACAAATAGAAGCATTAGAGTTCCAGTAATTATGTCGATCATAGAGTATTCTTTTTATAAGAAAAATCACGGTTGAAGTCTAATCATAAAAATACATGATTGTACCAAGGCTTGTATTTTATAAATGCCATAGAAGGGAACATTTTCTTTTCTCTTTTGCATCACAGCTGGGTAATGTGAGAACTAGGACCAGTTTCAGAATCAAGTTCATTTCCATCAAGCAACGACTTCATCATTTAAGAAAGAAGAAAGTCAAAGCTTCCAAATTACTTTGTGAAGCAAAATTCAAGTCGTTGCATTGTTTATAAAAGCGTGGTTTTTCTAAAACCTTGGCTACACAACAAAGTGATGCCAAAAGCATGTAAATTCAAACAAAAAAATAACTCCACCCATATAACAGAGATTCCAGAATAATTATCCTGCTCAATTTAGAAGTCAATGAAAGACAATACTTGATATTCTTCCCATGGCCATAAATTGAATAACAAATTATAGGTTAAATCAGCCAGCCCAAGCACCATAAAGGAGACAATAACAACTGGCAGAACTAGATTCTTAGTCTATGCCTATTCTCAGCCAATTTCAACCAGCATGTCCTTTAAAGCGTTAAGAGCATTGGAATGCATAAAAATAGCAAACAGAAAAAAACAAACAATATAAACCTTCTGGCTCTCATTTAGAGACTCAGCTGAGAAGTACTGTCCACTAGCAATCAACCCAGTAAATTCATAAATATTGTTGAAAATAGCACCTATATTCCTCGTTTCATCAGAATAATATATATAGTATTTTCCACTAAGGACACAGGTCTTGGCATGCTCCACAAGGACATCCCACATCTTATTTGACATGCCGCTTCCAAGAATCTGTCAATCATAACAAAATGGCATAGGAGTGATATTCATTGAATATTTTATGACAAAAAGAAAAAGCGAAGCTTACATTCCTCAACCTCTGTGGATCCCTAATTAAAAGCCGAAGGAAATCTTCAACTGAACTAATCCCAGCCTTATTTAACTTCTTGTGAAATGCACCATCTTTTCCTATCTTTTCCAGTCTCCAAACTTCATCTTTTAGAGCAGGTGGATAATGTTTCTTGTATACTACATGCCATTAAACATAAAACTTTAAAAACAAAATTCTACCAAAAACAAATCAAATAGATGATAATTAGAATCATGAAAACACCTACATTCCCCTCTATGATCCTTAACTGTAAATGCCTCAGTTTTCCCCTCTCGAATTCGAATACCATCACAGAATCCAGGAGCAACCTTCAAACCAAGCCTGAATTTCCTACTTCTTATCCAGCTAGAATTGTCAGTAAATGTTAGTTCTCCAAGGGTTCCCACCCCTTCTTTCAAGGAAACCTGTAAATCACCAGTTAAAAGGGGTCTCTTGCCTTCCCGTTCCTTTACCACATGACTTTCAAATTCCTCTTCAGTCCAGTCTTCATCATCTTCATTATTGAAATCACCCTCAAGCACCAGAATATCGAATTTTGCTGAAGATTCGGGCCCATAAGTTACTACATGGTTATTGTTGGCATCAATCAACACAACATGAATTGCAGCGCCTTGCTCTCCCTCTACCTTTCCTCCAGTAAAAATTGGTAAAGACAATCTTGACCTGAACTGCAGCTGCAAACTTCTTCCATCAGGTCCTTCAAGCCGTTTTGGAGAAGACCTGCAACCAAATTACGACAATAATTATTGCCAGGAAAACATATACTATCGCAAACAAGACATGGTAAAATTATAAAATAATTATTTCCAGGAAAGCCCATATATCACAACCAGGACATGGTACTGTGTCAACTAAAACCTTTAGGCCAGAAGAGAAAAATTAAAAATAACAAGCACATTTCAATTTCATCGGTTCAACTTAAACTAAGAGATGGCGTGACCCTCAAGAACAAGATGTAATTTATAATTATCAATATATACAAGTTTAAATCCAATCAATTGATAAACAGAAAGATAATCTCAGTCATACCAAATATTCAAAAACTCATAAAATGGAGTTCAGTGAGCATATTCAGTTGCAAACTAACACGCAATGGATCTAAAGGTAAAAATTAGCTATTCTAATTCTAGCTTCTATAGGAAAACTATTATGAAAGTAAAATGTGACCAAAAGAATAAGAAAAAATCACGAGCAATGACTAATTTCATCTACAAGCAACATACATGAGGTGACCATATCTCTACTCAACCTGCTCATGCAATGTTCAATGTTGATTAAATAAAAATGCTAAAGTTCAGTTCAACCAAAACAGTTTTGATATAATATATGCTTTAGAAATGTATTAGGCCTCCAAGACTAGTTACACATTGCAAATAGTTAGACCATCAAGACATTTAACTCTGTTGCATCATCAACAAATTTTTCTCATTTAGCATGAACCTCGATGCTTTTTTTAACCGTAAATGTTCAAAATTCAAATTCAAGATCATGCAAGGCCCCAATTTCAACAAGTTTGTAGCCAAATTAATCATCTCGACAAGACGAACCCAATGATACCAAAATTGATTCAGTCTGAGTCCAATCGAGTCCAAATCAAGCCATTAAATTACTTTTGGAGGTTTCGGATCGTCAATTTGATGGTCAGATGAACTCCAAACTTAACATATTTATATTGAGCATCTTGATGAGAGGAATCCAACGAGTTTTGAGCTCTCTTATTTCAGAGCTCATTAAGGCTCTCAAATCATTACAAAAACCCCTATGATCAAGAAGGGTCATTATGGGTCATCTAATTATGCGGTTATGGGTTAGTCACTGAATAACCAAAATGTCTCTCTCCCAAAGGTTATACATACACCCCCTCTCTTCACTTGAGGAGAGGGGGAGTCGAATTCCAGTACTATTATATAAACTAAAAACCCGACAATAACTTCCGGTCACTGTAGTCACCAACATTGTCGGTCGCCCCTTGCTCGATGTCGTTGGTGAACAATGTTTGATGATAAAGTATATCAAATATAGAGAAACAAAGTATCCCGAATACTGTGTAAAAAAGTATCCTAGATGCGGTGTAACGAAAAATGTCGTATTGAAGATCCAGTTATAACTAACGACAACACTTGCTTATGACTGTCTTATTTAGAATGAGGCAAATTTCTCCGGACTCGTAAAGTTTTCTATACACTGTATACCGACAATTGTTGTATCTAGTGCAAAAAAAAAAACCCAATAGAAGAGTTACAACCACCAACAAGGAGGGGTTACAACCACCAACAAGTGTAGCACTAACTACGGCTCATATTGTCAGTTACTACTATAACTTCCCACTATAACCTACGTGGCTAAAAGATGTCATTACAATCTTTCACTACAGCATACGTGACCAACTAATACTCTTGTAACAACCCACTATGATTTATGTGGCCAATTAATAATGTAGCTTCCCACTACGGTCTATCATTACAATCTTCCACTAAAGCCTTTGTGGCTAACTGACACTCTTGCATCGACCCACTATGACTAATGTGGTCAGTTATTACTGTAGCTTTCAACAACGACCTACATGGTTAACTATTATCATTACAGTCTTTCACTATAGCCATTTTGGCCAACTGACGCTCTTGCAGCAACCCACTACAACCTATCTGGCCAGATACTTTGCAATCTCCTATTACGACATTTATGACCAACTATTATCAATGCAGCCTTCCACTACGGCCTGTGTGATCAATTATTATCATTATATCCTTCCAATATGGGCTATGTGATCAATTGTTGTCATTATACCCTTCCACTATAACCTTTATGACCAACTAATACTCTTGCAACAACCAACTATAGCTAATGTGGTTAGTCGCTACTGTAGCTTCCCACAATGACATACGTGACTAACTGTTATCATTACAACATTCAACTATAGCTTATGTGGTCAACTAACGCTTATGCAGTGACCCACTGCGGTCTATGTAGCCAACTGTTGTCATTGTAGTCTCCCGCTACAGCCTCCATGACCAACTATTATCATTGCAGTCTTCCACTACAATCTATGTGATCAATTACTACTATTACAACCATCAATACGGCCTATGTGATCAATTATTGTTATTACAGTCTTCCCCTACGGCCTATATGGTCAACATTTGTAATTGCAGTCTTCCACTATGGCCTATGTGGTCAACAATTATCATTGCAGTCTTTTGTTAGGGTCTATGTTTTCCAACTGACACTCTTACAGCTACCAACTATAGCAGCATATTTAGTCAACTAATGCTACTACAACTATCAACTACGATATATGTGACCAACTACGGCCTACCAAACTAATTGCTACTTTGCAATCCAACGACGACCTATATGACCAACTATAGCATATTTAGCTAACAGCTACTACATCCTTTAACTACAACATATGTGACCAACTACGACTTATATGACTAACTAATACTACAATTTTCAATTATGATCTCTATGACCAACTAATGTTATCGCAGACACCGACTCAAGTCTCTGTGGCAAACTACTGTCTTTATAGCAATTGGTCTTTGCTGACCACTATTGTTATTATCACCAAAAACTATTAGTTGTAGCCCAATTACGATTATTAAACCTGAAAGACAATTATACATGTGATTATCAGCATTATATTCAATCTTCTCTAATTCAGAAAAAGAATTGAACTATGTACTTATAATCTTATAGTGGATTACTATGATTGGTCTAGGTCTCAAGAATTTTTTCCTTTCCATGGTTTTTTCACATAAAAATCTAATGTCTTCTCCTGTTACTTTTCTTTTATCTTTGTGAGTGTTGAATCTTCGTGCAATGCTAAGACATTAAATAATCACTCTACTGTCGTGAATCTTCCAACATCCAATAAACTCTATAGACTATAAATGAAGCTTGAAAAAAATAGCCATATAAGAAACTTAAACATCCAAACATCCCCATGAATTACATAAAATAGCACAAGTCATTGAATTGCTATGAATAATGAAATCCTCATATACATTACAGTTTTGAAAATGTCACCATCACAATCATCATTAGTCTTACCCCAATTATTGGAGATCGGTATGAAATAAACTCCATAGACTATGAATGAAGTTTAAAAACAATAGCCATATAAGAATCCAAACATCCACATGAATTACATAAAATATCACAAGTCATTGAATTGCTTTGCACAAAGAAATCCTCATACACATCACAGTTTTGAAAATGTCAACCATCACAATGATCATTAGTCTTACCCCAATTATTGGAGAACTGAATGCAATAAACTCCATAGACTATGACTGAAGCTTGAAAACAATAGCCATATAAGAGTCCCAAACAACCCCATAAATTACATTAAATATCACAAGTCATTGAAGTGCATTGCATAATGAAATCCTCATATACATCACAATTTTGAAAATGTCAATCATCACAATCCTCATTGGTCTTACCCCAATCAATGGAGATCGGCTTTATGAATCCCCATTTTCCATTCAATCCTGCTAAATTGTGACTGACGCCTTAAATTTATTCCTTTGTAAGATATTTCACACAACTCTATCATCATAAACTTCGGTTTCTCTCTTTGCCTTTCCAGTTCTTTTACACAAATTTTATTTACCCATCTAATGGAGGGACGCATTTATTATCCTTAAGCGTATATGTCCAAATTACCTAAATCCATTTTCAATTACTCATCACAATCAATAGCACTCTAGTTATATCTCTAACAATAATTATTCCTTAATTTATCTTTCCTAATTACACCATACAAGTTATTCCAACTTTTCATTTAATTCCCCAGCACTCAAACCATTATAGAGAATGCTGAAAAACTTTAATAAACAACTTATCAGTACTAGAATATATGGAATTAGGCTCAGTTGAAAATGATAACCAACCCAAAAGCTGAGGAACAAACATAATCAGCCTGCACAAGGCTTAATATGCGGCATGAGATCATCATATGATGTGAGGAAAAGAAGCGACGGCAAACGGGAAAAAAACTGTGTCAAAAAGCATAACTAAAACTTAAACTTAATTAAGTAATTTATGCACAAAAAACTGATGCAGGATAAAAGCACTGCGGGTGCTGGATTTCAACTAAGATAGCTCCAATGTGAAATGATGAACTTTGTTCTCTTAGCCGGTTGCCGCTACCAATGTGAAATTATACTTCACACCATGCTCACGTGACTCCTATTCATTAAAATATGAATTGGAGTAGCAAATTTAAATTTTCCAATTTAGGACAAGGATGACGTATAAACGAGAATGTTATCTGGAATCAGATTTAGCTGATCCAATGACAACCAGATCTATTAATCTATGTACGTGGAGTCTAAAAATAGGTATTCTAAGAAACAAATACAATATTTTGATTGAATAAATTCTTCTAGTTTTCAATCCTGTATGTGCAAGTTTGGCATGCGATCCCTTTATGCATTACCCCTTTGTGCATTACAAATATGATGCTTAATTTCAAGTCTCATCCTTCTAACAGCATAAGAACAAGAATATTTTTAGTTTTGTGACAATGTTATTTGACGTTGATATTGATTTTGTTCAATTTTGATACAACTGAAAAACCTAATTGCGGTGATTAAATCAGAATTGATTATTGATTTTGCATGTTTCATTTTTTTGTTAATTTGCCCAGTTTTATTTGATCGATACATTATAGTTCATGTTCTAATTCTCGTATTTATACTTTGCTCTAGAAGAAAGTAAATTTTTTGCTCATTCGGCATTCAGTGATTCGTGAATCATAATATATTTTGCATGATTTATATACAACACATTATTCTAGGTGCATTAAGAATGTGCACACTAAAAGATCCTGCACTAACACTACAAAATGCAAATGAAAATGTAAATGCAACAATCAAACTCCAACTTGGCCTATATATTTTAAGATCTGCACATTTTTTCCACTAGTGAATGATGATTTGAAAATTTTCACAATTTATTTGGTAATTCGAGGGTGTTCTACTTTTCATATTGTGACACATAAATGCTTCTTCACTTTAAGGGTATTAAAATTAATGCAAATAAGAATTGTAAAAATATACAAGAGCCCTCAATAACAAACTCAGAAACCCATCATAATCTCAGAAGGTTTGACAGTTATTTTATAATTTGCCATGACCAAACAAGCGGATTACTCCAAATTGACAACTCGGACAAAAACACTGATAATATTTATGAATGCAGACTTACAAAATGTAAAAAATAATAAGTGTTAAAAGGTATTGAGGAATTTTCTTGTGAGATGCAACAGTAAATCAATCTCATGAAAAATACAACAATAAACAAAAAATATTACAAATTTAACAATCTAACCATAATTAACATACTAATGATGTACCTTGCCCCAAGTCTAGCAGGGCCAAGCTTCGCTAAAGCACGCTCCACTTCTTCACTGACCTATATAACACAGATATCATGTCCAAAACATAACTGTCATCAATTGATAGAAAAAATAAATAAATATGCAGACTATTCAGAATAAACTGACTTCAATTAGCAGTCGTTGACCACCTATATTTTAACCTGTACCTACTGAAAAACAGTTAACCCCAAAGTTAACTACGTAAACAAGAGTGGAAGAGCTTAAAACTACTGATCATGGGTTTAGTGGTCTGGGTGAAAAATTCAAACAAACTAAACAATGCAATATTTCCAGTGCGTGAATTGCCCATAATCATATATGTCGTGCTGCGTAAATTAAGTCAAATACTACTTTGATACTAATTCTATTTTTTAATAGTGAGTTTTATCACTCAATACGCATGCTGCTATTGACTATACAAAATTGATTTATCATATTTATTTTGCTTTTGGGGCTCGTGGAATCGGTTTGGCAATGGCTTCAAAGAAAAAAATCCAACCTGCAAATATTCATTGGAAACCCGACATGTGGCAGGTAGAAACTAAAATTTATTGTGTTAAAATAATCAGCATGAAGACATCAACATGATCCAGAATTTAACTGAGAGAGGCATTACATAAATTTGCATAGCCCATTAGCACAAAATAAAGTAAGAAGGTGACAGCTCTCGACGTTTCTAAAAATTTTAAATGCTGCCAAAACGTCAAGTAAATAGGAAGTTAAAAAAAATATACAAAATTATGACTAGTATTAAGTGGACGATATGGAAAACTAATTCCTAATATAATATAAATGACATGCTGAATTTTTTAAAAAAAAACATTGTGTCAAACAAAGGAAAATATAGCCCTCACAAAAGGAAGTTAATAGTCTTAACGTTATCATTCAAAATGCATCTAAGTTGGAAGAATATGACCATATCTATCAAATGCAATAATTACCCATTTTCAGTAATCCTCATAATACAAAAGAAAGACAGCGAGTAAGTTTTTTCAACTTACAACTCGGCGAAGCACGGGCTCTAATGATGAACAAAGCTTCTGCAGACTATCAACCTTGAGAGCTTCCACAATTACACTGCAGAGGATATTAGAATCTTCTTTTAAATTAGCAGGGGCAGAACATGAACATGATAAACCTTTACAAAAAAATGAAATAAAAAAAATATCACATATTCCTTGAACATCCAAAGAAGAGGAAAACAAATAGTCAGTTTAAAAGATTTATTTTCACCCAGCTTCTTGACTAGATATGAAGAAAATAAAGCAATCAAATGCAAAAAACAATGATACAAATTTTCATGGATAAGCATTTACCAAAAATTCATTATTAATTTTCCTCAACTACGTTTCCAAGAATATTTGTTTTGGATAAAGCAACTCAAAGTGGCTAGGGAAAGTTTCATTCCATAAAAAAGATTGGCGAAATTTAAGATCATTATGAGTTGAATGAAATTATTGTTCAGGAGAAAAATTGCACATCTCCTAGGGTCCCTAGCTTGCCTAACATTATAAATTCAAATTCAGCAGCTAGTACCGATTGCCAAATATAGAACACCACATAATACTGCCAGATGAACTCAAGAATTCACCACCAATATTCAAATAAGTTGTTATTTTAAGGACTCAAGAACGCAAAAACAATGGGATAAAAATTAAAAGAAAAAAAAATAATGTGGCTAAGAAAATTATGACCAGAAAGTAAGGGTGCCAGACAGTAAGGTTGTAAAGGATATGAAATGATATAGATAGTATCCAAAATCCAACTTCAGGACTTGCTAGCTCCTTTTAATTTCTTTTTCTACAACTAGTGGCCAACAAGAAGATAGTATTCTGCCTTGTATACATGTCCGCACCAACCCCCCCCAACAAGTTAAAGGGAAAAAAAAAACATATAAACTCAATTGTATTAAGAAGGGATAATGTACAAAAAAATATATAAAATCCTTAATTTGACAACTGACAACTAATCAATTTATGTACAGTGGTTTGGCTTCTCTTTAAATTGAATTAAATGAAAATATGACATTCAACAGAATGCAATGGAGAAAAAGGATTCATGCACCCGACCCCACTTAGTGGGATAAAGATTTGTTGTTGTTGTTGTTGTTGTTGGTTTAGCTTCTCTTTCCACTGGATTGATATAACCTTAGACATCAAAAATATAAAAATCCATTATACAAATCAGTTCACAAAAATGAGACATTTACACTTTTATCCAAATCATCACACTCCGAACTGTCTGAACTTCACAATTCCCACAAAAGGGAATAAGTATAAACACAATGAAATATTTTTGAACATTTAAACTTCAATCACTGCAAATCCAGAGAACCATAAAGCACAAAAATCATTAATTACCCTCCCGAGTTACCAATTCCGCTCTCTCTCACGTCATTATATTGTATATTCTTTTATGAAAACCAAAAATGTCTTCAAAGAATTGCTAAGATAAACAAAACAATATGAATTACAACCGCCAGAAAGAGAGGAGTAAAATTAATAAATACAATAACAGCCTTACAGATAGATGTTAAGCTTCATTTAAAATAAATCAACTGACGGAAGGCATTAAAAAAGAAGAATCAAAGAAGGAAGAATTTCATAAAAAATTTCCCAAATAAAAAGGGGTTGTGCAAAGAAGGGACTCAGAAGCAACTGCTTGCAAGAAAGTTCAATTACCCTATAACCTTCGAGCATAATTCATGTCAGCATATACACAGAATTTACCGAGAGAAATCGCGCACTTTCACAACTGGTCTAGCATTCGGGTATTAAATCAAAAGACATCAGTCTCCTTCCTTCTCACTCAATCTGAAATATGTAGTCACTTCAGAATAAAGATACGCCCTTAGACAAAAATCAAATTCCAAACCCCCCGACTTAGCATCTATCAAGCCGTACTCCGCAGATTTCTATTTCAAATCTCTACACAAATCAGTTCATACGCCTCCCTAGCCCTACTGGCGAAGGAGCAGCCTTAACAATACCTGGCAAGAGCTGGAACCTTCTGACGCTTTGCCTCAGGACCGCCGCGCTCGTCACCGTCGCCAGTGTCCAAAGCCCGTTTCTCCCTCGTCATCGTAGTCGATCTCTCAAGATTCCTTGTTGACCTTTGCATCTTCCTGACCCCGCAAACCCTAAACTGAGATCCGAGGCGTAGATCTTACGAAAACTGCTCAAAGGGCGAAACTGTCCTTAGCCGGCTGCAGCAATCACAGAAGCCGGTGAATAGGCGGATCGACAAAGACTTTGGGGATAAAAGATTCCGTGCTAAGCTTCTCCTCTCTTGGAGAAAGCGAAGAGAAGCGAGCCGAAGGGGAAACGCAGCTGGGTTGACGGAGGCAGCTACTGTTAGAACTGGGCATGGGCATTGCAGAGTATTTTATCCATTTGTACTTTTAGGTAACCATTCAATACTCGAGTGTAATAAATCAATTTTTCCCGGTGCCGATTATCAATTTGATAAACGACTGACGAGCGGAAAAGGGGCGTTAAAAACTTGTAGCATTATCGAGAGCGCTTCTTACTGTATAAATATCTGGTGGGTTGCCTCCAATTCGGGCGTAAGAAATTAAAAAAAAAACTCTTTTTAATAATAATTAGGATCTCTTTAGGGGAGGTCCAGTTTATTAAAAAGTATGTATGAACCTACTCAATGATAATCTGATACTCAAAAAATTACGTTATCTATTTCATTTTTTTTAAAAATGTATACAATTGTTAGAAAATTGTCACCAAACCTAATAATGAATGCATATTTCGGTGACAGTTTTTTGAAAGTTAGGCAGCAGCTTTTGAAAAATTGTCAAAATGCTTCCCCAAATTCTGAACATGCACGAGCTATGGACTACATAAATCATAGTTAGTCATGTAGGCTGTAGTGGTAGGCTATGATGATATTTGTGAGTCGTTGGGACTAGAGTTTGAAGCTACACTAGTTATGGATCGCGTGGGTCATAGCTGGTCACGTAGGTCATAATATTGAGTTGTGATAACAATCGTAAGCTATAAGCGTCGGAGTTGAGACCCGCACAAGCTGCTAGTCATTTAGGTCGTAATTGTTCACATAAATAATAGTAGTGAGCTATAAAGACATTTGTAGGCCAGAATGGCAGAACTAGATTCGTATCACATGCACGAGCTGTGAATCACATGGGTTGTAGTTGATTTCATAGGTCATAGTGGTGAGTTGTGATAAACTTTGTATGTCGCGGGGGCTAGATTCGAGAGTTGCACGAATTGTGGATCACTCAAGTCATAGTTAGTCGTATAAGGTGTAGTAGTGAACTTTGATGATGTATGTAGGACGAGAGGACCAAATTCGAGAGCTACAAAGAGCAGGCGTCGCCCGATAATGGTCAACAATGGGCGGCATGTGGTGGTACAAGTTAGTCAGCGGTAGAGGCCAGAGATAGTCGGCTGCGGTGGCCAGAGTTTGCCCGAGGAGGTGGTGATCAGCGCGCGACGGTTAACAGTGGTTGACCGCTGCAGGTGCAAGGGCTGGCGATGGTCGGTGATGGTTGGCAACTGCAGAAGCGGGGGTTTTACACCTTATCATTCGTGCAGAATTTCGGGCTTCAACTCCCTCTTATGTAGGCTATGGTCTTCCTCTTGCCCCTCACCTCAAGAGGGGGCATAGCTCTATTTGTAGATTCTAGGTTGAAAATAATAAAGGAATCCATGCCAATCTGATCAGACTGCCTAAATAGATCCCCTTGATCGAACGACGCTTAATAGACATCTGAGTGCCTTAATGATGTTGGAATTGAGCAACTTTGGGCTCGTTGGATTCCTATTGTCAAGACGCTCCACCCGATTATAAGCTTGTCATATTCAAAATTCATTTGAATCTCCAATTATGCCTAGAAAGCTTCTAAAAGTGATTCAACAGTTTAATATGATTTAAACGCTTTTATGACTAACTACGATCTACATGGTTCAGAGCTTCTGTAGCTCCCAACTATGGCCTCTATGGTCAATCAATGCTTTTAAAACAACTATCTACCACCTACAAGGTCATCTATTATCATGAACTTCAACTACGGCTTTCATGAACAGTTGACATTACAACCATCATCTACAATCTTCATGGTGGGCTAATGTCTTCATAACAATCAACTACGGTCTTTACGGCTCGTTGCAACTATTATTGTCAAACTACCGTTGTATATCAACAATGTAATTCTATCTTCTCTAATTCAAGAGGAGAATATACATATGTACTTATAATTATATAATAGATTATTTCAATTGGGCCAAGCACCGTTTTTTGTTTTTCAAGATTTTTCACGTTAAAAAATTGAGTCTTCTCGTGCTTCCTTCTCTTTTATATGTATGTGTTTTGTACCTTCATCCAATGATAATATACTAAATTAGCACTCTACCAATGCAAATATTCCCGCTTGCATGATATATATAA